CTGACCATGCAAAAAGCTTTGGAAGTAAGACTCACTTGCACGCCGAGATTCTGGTCTGAAAGTGTAGCGATTTTGCATTTTCGATACCAATACGGAATAAGGTCAATTCAGAATACAGTGACGAGACAATCACGATCAGCCAGCAAGGAAAAGCCGGATTCAATAAATTTTATGAGGTACGCGAATGTTGAACTGGGAAAGTTCGCTGGCTTCGCGAACGAGCGCCTATGGAACATTGGCCTGTGATGAGGCCAAGGACGTGGCATAGGATCCCACAAAGGATCCTTCTATCTTATTTCTTTCATTCTTTCTTTCCTTTTGTCGACCGGAAACCACTGTTGTTCCGTACCAGCAGCATACCGGTGTCCTCGGTCAATTCTAGGATCTACTTCTTTCACACTGCTCTGCAATCCCACGAAGTAGGGCTTAGGGCTTTGGGAGGACGGATAAACTGCACTCGATGCGGTATTTTATAGTATTGAGAAACACTACATGTGCATGTTCTTCTGGATGCGGGCATCGGGTGATCTGCATTGCATATTTCCAGCATCAAGAACACGCAATGATAGAGCATATAGGCGCAATCTAACCAGATCAAGAATGTATAACCTTTCGACCAACTAGAATTTGACATACAACTAATTTTCAGCTACTTGTTAGAAAATCTGTCTTGAAAATTTCCGACCGCTTAGGCTTTCATTCGGACAGATGCCCAAGGACAAAATCTCCGATCGGCATCTTATGGCCAGTGGACGGGATGATCTAACCTGCCACGACAGCCCGGTCGAGAACTGCGCTAATGTATATGCACAAACTTGCTTTTTTGCTAGTACTGCCAATCCAAATAGTTATTAGCCATCGATTATCATTATGGAGCCCAGTGCATCTTCTGTAATCGATTAGTTGTGTAAATTCGAAAGAACACCATGTTTGCTACCAATGGCGTGCATGCATGAGTGCAGTTCTCAGTCGAGCTGGCATGGCAGGGTACGGATAATAATGCTGCATTGGTTTTTGCTGACGTGGGATCAGCGGGACTATGAGTCGGACAGAGATCTTCACCTGGAGTTAAGTCCAGAGCTCAGATTGGGTATAAAAAAAAGGAATGGGCACACACGAACTATTCACATCACGGTCAGAACACGATGAATCCAGTATACATTGTTGGGGCGGCGAGGACCCCCACCGCACGTGTGAGTCTAGGTGGTCAAACCCCTTGAACACTGACTGATTGATGTAGATTCATACCCAGCTCGACTCTGTGCCAGGCACCACACTGGGAGCTATTGCAATTCGTGAAGCCCTTCGTCGCTCACAAGTGCCGCTGGATTTATTCTCCGAGGTTTACATGGGCCAAGTGCTTCAAGCTGGCGCTGGCCAAGCCCCCGCAAAGCAGGCTGCGATGCAGGGAGGGTTGCCACCGGAGATCGAGGCTACCACAGTTAACAAAGTATGCGCTTCTGGGCTCAAGGCCATTACCCTTGCTGCCCATAATATCCAACTAGGGTACGCCGTTGCTCAGGTGGCCGGGGGAATGGAGAGCATGTCGAATGTCGCCGGGTATTTAAAGAAACCAGAAGACTCCAATTGCAAAGAGGATCCGGTGATTGATGGTCTTCGGCTCGATGCGTTGACGAATTCCTCAGATGGCCGGTCTATGGGCGCCTGTGCTGAGGGTGTCGCTCGGCAGATGGGTATCTCCCGTGAGGACCAGGATAGATATGCACTTGCTGCCTATGAGCGTGCATTTAGAGCGCAGCAGAACAATGTCTTCCAAGAAGAGATTATCCCCGTTTCAGTAGATGCAGGCACGGCTGAAAGATTTGATACCGACAGTCTCCCTCCTGAGAGCCTCTTCAATCGACTTGAGTCTTTGAAGCCCGCGTTTTCCCCCAATGGCACGGTCACCGCAGGAAATTCCAGTTCGCTAGGTGATGGCGCTTCAGCGGTGGTTCTGGTGGACGCACAGGTAGCCAGACAGTTTTGTCGAGAGAATCGGGTGTTGGCCAAAATAGTAGCTTGTGCCGATGCCTCCGTTGCCCCGCATGAGTTTGCTCTGGCGCCAACCAAGTCGATTCAGCTTGTCCTCGAGAGGGCCCAGATGTGTGTTGAACAGATCTCCCTATGGGAAATTAATGAAGCGTTTGCCATCGTAGTGATTGCTTCACAAAATGTGTGTGGATCCCTAACCAGCTGTTCAATCATTTCAGTTTGCTTACCATGTTAATTAGCTACTCGGGTTGGATCCCGATACCGTTAATGTCAACGGGGGAGCTATCGCGTTTGGACATCCCTTGGGCAGCTCAGGTTGTCGAGTTCTGGTCAGTCTCTTGCACCAGTTAACTCACGGCCAGTATGGCGTTGCCGTTGTCTGCAATGGTGGTGGAGGTGCCACGGCTGTGCTTATCGAGCGAGTCCAAAGCGAAAGTCTGGATGTCCCAGCATAAAGGTCAATCTAAACATGCGCATATTGGTGTCTACGGCGGCTATGGGTAATTCAATGTCCTTTCAGAATCATTGCATGCCAGATTGCAACATTGCACAATCCGACGGGACGTACCATGATCAACTCTTTTGGATGGATAAATGCCACGAGAGTTGAGAATTCTCTTGACTACATAGATTTGTGGGCAAGAGTAAGTTGAAATCTGCGTCTCAAATTCAAAAACAATTTGCATTTACGGCTAGGACGAAATGAACTTCAATGGATATATAGGTTAGCCATGTTCTCCATCTCCTACCTAAGAACTAGCGTGGAGCGTGTCAACAGCCAGCACACGTTTTCAGGGCTCAAATCTCAAGGGAAACTCTGGTATGGTTAATCTCATGAGTGTGGAAAATTCAAGTTAAATCTTCATAAATTGACATGCATCTGGGACCTTTTTCAACGCTAAGCCCTCATTGATTTTACGCATACGTCGCTCCATGCATGTGCCAAATCCTGCATCCAAAACTCATGTGGAATCGAGACTCGCTGCGTCAATGCAGTGTGACACCTCTATCACATATTCTACTATACAAACTTGAGCATTCTGTATCACAGGAGAGCATTTCAATTTGGGCTACATTCAGTCAATGGTTCAGGAGAGTCCAGTACTAAGTACTCCGTACTGACACCGTTCTTTGAAGCTTCTTCTTTCTCATTCTTTCATTACAAATGCAAATGAGTTAGTGAGGGGTAGAAATGAAGCTATAAATGTGGCTTCAATTCTGGGGCGGAAGAGATTTGACAGTATTATAATTCATTTTTCTACCCCTGGCGAAAGATCTAAAAAGAACTTCATCAGACTCTTTATTTACATGCTTCTTCATGTGCTATTTACTCCCGTGCAGCGAAATCAAAATAAATCAGGGCTCCTGACATAGCTCACAGATTGCATTTGCTGGTTGGCTCTCATGTAAAACCGCTCTTCTCCCGATGATGCAGAACATTGCCGTTTCGCTTGTTGCAACTACCACACTCCGATAACTACATTGAGCCTCCAAGTAAACGCCTGTCATGTGGGTCAGTTTATGCTGACTGCCTGCGTTGTGGTTTTAGGCCACGTTGCGGCAAATCTCTCCGAGGTCTCCGAGCCTCCGGTTGGAGGCCTTCGTTTTCAACCTGAGTTCCTTTTACTGGGAATGTTATCAACGTAGCCGCATTCTTTCAGTCATTGCATATCCCCCATTCTGTTAGCTGGATTTGGCTGTCGAATTCAAGTAGACGATTGTTGAAAAGCCACATGGCCGTAGGATCCGACATGGATCCAACCACCATCAGCACCCCCCAAGGAACACCAGCAGCGCACCACCCCAGATCCGTTAGATTCCGCCCACTTCTATCGCATGCTTGGCAACCTTGGCAAATGAAGTAGACTCGGCCAACGAAGATTGTGTGATGATAAGAATTACATACCAATCAGTGGTTTGAACAGCCATGTATTAGAAATTCTCGTGACAATAGTGTCTTGCGCTTTGGACGCATTCTATGAACATTTTTCTTACTGCATTTAGGTAATCACCGTCCCAAGTCGAAACAGACATCTTCCGGATTCACAATGTGCAACCTGAAGAAGGATGGGTTTTTTTGGCTTGAAAGAGTTGAGTTGAAACGCTTACTCTTCCCAGATGATGCTGCTCAGGCCCGACGACGGTTTATCCTGACCGGGCTGTACAATCGGCACATTGGCGACTAAGTTGCCGAGCTTTCCACTCTGTGGATCTCTTTCGACAATGGCAACATTGGATGAATCCTGGCCCGCAATGGCCACCAGAGTGCCATTGTTGTTGATGGCAAAAGTGCGGGGGACGGCGCCGTAAGCAGACGTGATCTGGCTGAAAGAGACCGTGCCATCGGGGGAACGAACCAGGGTCGAGATGGAATCATTCGGGGCGAATCCCTGATCAAAGCGAATGGAAGCATAAAGATTGTCCCCGGCCATCCGAATCTCTGCTGGCGTACCCTTCGCCGGTAACTGTCCGCCTGGGTACGGCACAAAGGCTTGCGTCTCCTTGAACCCGAGACAACCGGAGGACAAGTAAGAGACTTCGAACGCATTGAAGTGACCGCCCAATTCGCTAACGGTGTACAACATCGTCAAAGGAACTTGGTCCGATTGCGAGGGGCTGGATTTCCAGAACAGTCCGTGTCGTGGTCCACTACCAGCAGTGTAGTTAAGACTAGGGCACAGGTTGAGGTGTCCCGAGTCATGGTCAATGCCGTATACGCGGACCTGGTCGGCACCCAAATCGGGAACCAGGATGAAATCACCGGTTGGGTCGAGGATCACCTGATGGGGGTGTGGCGCTTCTTGCTCAGGTCTGATGCCCGGGTGGGCCATCTTGTAGTGGAAGACCTGTAACGGCTCCTCGCCGGACTTAAGGGGTAAGGCAAAGGTCGAAAGGGCAGAACCACCGCTAATCATGTTAGTTTGCTGGTACATCCACAGCTGGTTGAAGTAGACATCAGAATCACTTACTAATGGGCAATAGCCAGATACTTTTCACGTCCGTCCTTTCCCCCAAAAATAATGCTGTGGACCGCGGCGCCCACATCCACGGTGCTTGTGAGCTCCGTCATTGATCCATCCTGATTCACGGAGTAGGAGGTCAACAAGCCATTCATGCTCGAATTGCCCGCGTGGTCGGAGCAATAGATGGTGCGCGTTGACGAGTCGAACGTAAGCCAACTAGGGTGAGTACCACATGTTTTCGAGGACGATGTGATTGAAAGCGAGTTGTCCTCAAGAGAAAGGGTGTAGACTTCGCCGTCATAGTGAGTGGCATAGAGGTTCGTGGCAGCTGCCAGGGAGGCAAAAAAAGGAAGATAGCGAACCATGATGGGAATTGGGAACTGAGAACTGAGAACTGGGAACTGGGAACTGGGAACCCTGGGGGAAGGATAGATAGACCAGAGATTTATGGGGTAGCCGACAGGATATATACTTCCAAGCTTGTCTATTCTGCACACGGATTTAATTACTCCGTCTTACCTGAGATGCCTGCTCATTCAATCTATTTCCCTACAAATCCTACAGGTCTCACCTCTGCCTTCTGGGCGCTCTCTTAGCGTCGGCATTGGCCCCACTAGATTCCCCAATCTAGAAGTTCGTGTCTTACCAGGAAGGATTCAAGCAACCCCCTTTTATGCCCATCCTGTTTAATGCTAATGATCTGACAGAACTCCCACCAGAACTGCTCTATGGAAACTCACCGCAGTCAGAGACAATCGTGTCCAGCAGGTCGGCTCACGGACATTTATGGTACATAACCAGACTCTACTATGGTGGTTGCGAGCATTCGCCCCAAAACAAATGGGGTCGGCTCGGCCTTTGAACGGGGTGTTGAAGAGATGGCGGCAGCCATGGTTTTGGAGTATCAACCGGCAAATCCGGGGGTGAAATTCACGCAATTCTGACATAACCGGGGTGTGTCATTCATAAAGGTGGTTTTTGTGTAAGAATTAATCTATAACACTCTTGTCGTGGTTCTGAAAATTGGCTTGTAAGCTATGGCTTTCCTTTGTTCTTGACAGCCCTGTCTACCAAGTCCGCAACAACGAATAAAACAAGGACCTAATCGCGGGAGAGGTAGCTATTCAATGTGAATTTAGAAGTTTGCTCGTTTGTGTATGATTTGAAATTATTGTTCAGCAACTGAAGTGTAACAAGTCCTCTTTTTGGTGCTGTTTTCAAAAATCTCTTCGATCAATCTATGCAGGAATCGCCGATTTCGATTTTTTCAATAAGACGATTGTTCAGGAAAAAAATCTCCCTCATTCCTCACTTGGTACAAAACGCTAAATACACACATCTGAGGCCTGTTGGGTTTTCTAGCTTTGATTCTGTGACCTCCTATTCTCGTCGTGACTGATTGACATCACCTTCTATCGTAGTATTTTTTAGTCAAGGTCCAAGATTCCGTCTTACAATTTTATCTGAAGTGTTGAGAATGCGAGGACGGAGATGCTATGATTGTAGATCAGGACAAAGATTTGATCCTCCATCTCTCTTTGCTATCCATCTTTCTCTTCTTCTCAAGTCCCTTAATCCGGGTAAATCTCTCTAGGAGGCACTTTCTCTTCACATTTACACTTACGATAAACAAGCTTATTGCAGCGACTAGTCACCCATATTCACCATGGCTTCCAGCCGAGTTACAAACTCGAGTTCGTACCTGTTTCTCGGTGACTGGAATCAAAGTGATTTCTCTCTTCTTGACCCGTTGCATTTCCGAGTTAATATCACTGTTGTGTCCTAGGTCGACTAGGCGGGACACTGGCATCTCCACTATTGCAGCAACTCTGCGCCTTCGACGTGTAAATGACTATGTCGCCAAACTTGTTAACGCTAGAGAGGTAGCTCAGAAGAGTTAGGAAACCCCCGAGAGTATAGAGGATGAGGAGGTCTGAAAGGACCAACAGGAAAAAAAAAGATCTGCACCACATACACGACCACAAATCCCTTTATCGCGACATGATATTGGAGATGTGGCTGTCCAAGGCACAGCTGCCTCCTTGTTTGTCCAAGATATCACTTCCTGCTTGATCGATCTCCCTACTTCCATAGCCTGTCGCTGCATGAAATTCATTGCCCTTTCCAGGCTTTTACCCCGCATGGTTTGTAAGGAAGAAGATGCCAAGTCGGCATCAAGAGATCGAAGTTTCTTCAACGCCTAAAGAGAAAAAAATGGACAAGGGTATAATTATGAATAGGCCTGTAGCACTTCAAAGATATCACAAAAACAATCTGGATTTTTCATGGTATCAAAATTCCAAATATACATACAATCAACGCCTTCCAATTTCAGTGTATCTACTCGCCTCCAACAAGCATAAAACATGTAGCTCCAACCCAGACTATAACGAAGATCGCAGTCAAGATTCCTGCGCCAACCCTATCCCCTGTAGTGATGGGTGCAGGCCCCACGTTAGCCTGCTCATTGGTGCCCCCAACTGGGTCACTTTTGGATGTCCCTCCATTATCAGTATTGTAAGGGCCATCTGCCTTAAATGGGACCATGACAGCATTAAGAACACCCAAGACAGACATCTGCTGCTCCAAGCCCATGGTCCCGTCCCATTCCGCCTTCTTCGTCCAGCGAACTCCACAGTGGTTCCCATCGCTTCCGCCGGAGCATTGCTGACCGGCAGCGACAGCGGAGACCTTGAATTTTCCCATTACCTCCGCCGTGATATTGGCCGGTACAATCAGCGACATGAATCCGAGCCAGCCGGTGAAATAGGCCTTGAAGGTTTTCTGGTTGCGGTCACACCTGTTGATGGGCTCACAGGTGATATCGGATAAGATTTGGTTCCCACCTGATTCAGGGAAAAACTGGTTAGATGTTTTGATCAGTCCTGTCACGCCTTCGAGCCATTTGCTTTCGGTGCCATTGGTCTTAAACTCAGTTAGTTGAGACAGTCAAGTTATTGGGACAGGGGATAGACGTGCATAGTTGTGCATGTAACCCGCCCCGGAGATATAGGTTGCATAGTTGTAAGTCCACTGGTGATCACCATGATCCTTGCAACTTGCAGCATTAGTGGTAGTATCGGCAATAACCCAATTCTTCCTCAGCAGTGGTGTAGATGCACTCCAATCCCAAATCTTCTCGGCCCATTCAGCATAGGTCGCGTTCCGGGTGTATAGTGCCAGACGCGCTGACAGTTGGAACAAGCCGCCGTTGGAAATAGCATTTTTCAAATTATAGCCATCCTGGTAAGGCCAAATCTGCCATCGCAACCCTCCACCGCAATTTTTAACATCCCAGCGAGGAATCTGTCCATTAAAGACACCCTCGGCCAGTGAAATCCACGAGGGTTCGTGTTCTCTTTCTGGAAAGTTCAATTCTCCGGCGGTTATCGCCGCTAGTCCCCAGAACACTTGATCATCATTACCCAGGTATTGGGAGTAGTTGCTTGGGAAGAAGTTGTTTTCGCCCTTTTGCCAATACATGCCTTCCTGGATGGCATCGTTGAATTGGCTGTCGCCTGTTAAATACCAGTATTGGATGAGGGTCATAAACATCGAACCGCCTTCCCACCAGGTATCGTCCATTTTCCCCGGAATATCGTTGGAGTTGCGGGCATTGTAGAAATCCATCATTGTGGTGGCGACGGTCTTGGCGGCATTTTTGAGGGAGGCTATCGGGAGAGGTACATGTCAGTCATTTGAGGTGCTTAGCCAGTGTAGGAAATAAACTTACTCTCATCCTCGGGGTTAACCTCAATCGCAAGGACATTTTGTATGAGAAGGCAGGCCAAAATGGTGGTGAACAATCCAGACATAACAACAGGCCTTATTTGAAGCGAGCCTAGCGGTGACCGACATCGGAAGAAATGCATGGAACTGAGAGATGGATAGCAGAAATTAAGTGCATTGGGATTAAAAGGAAGATACGAGGGTATATCTCCTAGAACAAAAGAGCAATAAATCGCTGGAACCCATCAGATCATACCGAATCATCACAATGAAACCAGTCACTTGGCAGACTGGCGCCGTATCAGCGGGATTATGGACAGAGTGATGTCCCAAGACATTAGCGCAACCAATCCTGCTGCCTTACTTCGTTCTGGGTGCAGCTCTTCTCAGCACTGCCTAGTTTTCAGACCCTTGGCGTTCAATTTTCCTTTGGGAAATAAGAATGTAGTAATGCCAAGAGCCCCCCTACCCGGTACACTCGGGGTAGGCGGCTAGAGGGGGCATAAACTCTGCACTCGAACATTTTTCAAAACACTCTTGAAGTCAATGAAACATGAAAAGAATGCCGATATATTTAGGCTGAAGGAAGCCTCTGTCATTTCATTTCTCTGAGATAGGGGCAATCTGCCAAGTCATTTCCACTGGCGCGGAGTGTCACGAGCGCTAAATTGGGTCTTGGCGCTACCGTATTTTTAGGTGTGCCAAGAGATATGTCAAGACCGAGCACTGCCACTTCCCCCCCCCCCCCCTTTTCGCAGAAATTACCTACTTCTGGGCTAGTCTTTGAAGCTTTCATGTTCACCTTCACAACTCATCCTAAAGAAGACTTCTAGGTTAACGTGAAGCCTATACGGATAGGGAGTACGGAGTAGTTTGTATCCGTCAGCAATACGAAGCACTCCGTATCCATCGAATAAAACACTATTTGTTTGGTGGTTTTTAAAGTTACCGCGAATTTATAACTTCGATTCTAGGTCCTCTAGTGTAAAGAATTCTAGTACACAAAAAAGCATAGGCCTCTCTGTCTTCATACGAAGCTAACGCTTCTTTGACTGTAGACTATGAATAGATAATAAAACCTTCTCTCACTCCTCCTAACTAGTATAAAGCTCTTGATTATACCCAATTACTAAATATAACCCTTCGCATTGGACTACTCCTATGGGAGCCAATTTGGGAGTTGGCAAGGTTAGTTCTAATATACGTGAAGAAGAGAAAAAAACGATCTACAGGTGCTAGACTAAAGTGCTTTGAGTAAACCGAGAAGCCACATGACTTCTAATAAATAAGCTTTGAGTTACGAGCATTGTAGAAATCTATCATGGGTGGTGGTGACGGTCTTGGCTCCAGGGAGGCTAATAGGATACAACATAGGTAGATGTCTGTCATTTGAGGTGCTTGGCCAGCTTTAGAGTGCACACAATGTACTACGATGCATCATCATGACAGAATCCTAGCTTGATCAGGTCTAGTACTTTCCAATTTAAACTTCATGTAGGTGTACCTTCTCCAAACTCCAGCATCAAGTCTCCATCGAAAACTGAACATCAAAGCTCGAGTTTCAAATCTCTATACCCCGAAGTTTGAATCTCTATATTCAAAAACTAGAACCCACAAACCTCGATTTCAAAGGTACAGTCTCAAATTTTGAACCGTCATCCTCCAAAACTCAACACCCAAACTCGAGTCTCTATACCCTAGATTCGAATCTTCACACTCTAAGTCTGAATCTCCAGCCTGTGGCCATAATCATGGACCCCCTAAACCCATCAATGGAATCCCTTCAACCCGAAACTGAAGCCATACACATTCTGAAGAAAAGAAAACATGATCTCACAAACGATCTGCAGACAGCTCGGAGACTCTGGAGGGCACATGGGTCGTTTGACCTGAAGTTCTGGGCACAGGCTGTCAAAATAGAGAAGATCAACCTGGAAAGGTCAGACGTGGATCGCAAAGTTTCACTTGGAAGTTTTGATGGGGTAGAGGAGACATGGAAGAGGACTGATGAAGCTAAGACGATTTTGGAACAGATTGAAGCACAAAAGCAGACGAAAAAAATCTGCGAGGAAAGGGTTCACCAGCTACAGAGTGCACCCCCTCGTAGAAGTATGAGAGCATGCTTTATGAAGTTTTTCACGACCTCTACCATGGGCATGGCCATCAAAGGCACAGGTGCTGGGGCTCGTGACACAAGCCAGCAGAGCAACTTCCGGGCAGCGATGATCGAAACCTACAAGGCAAAGCACCCTACCGAACCATGGCTCTGGTGCCCTATTCTAGGGGACTATACGGATGATGATGATATCCAAGCATCGCACCTGTTCCCTTGTAGGAACGGACAGGATTGTTTGGATGCTATCTTCGGTAAGACACGAGCGGAGGAGCTTTTTTCGCCACGCAATGGTCTTCTTTTGTGCAAAAAGCTTGAGCGCTATTTCGATTCTGGCAAGTTTGTGATCGTTCCTGATATTCCTAATTTCCAGAAGAACGTGCTGGTATCTGCGGTTAAGGGGTGGCTCAACTGTGAGCCCCGCCAGTACCGGGTGAAGCTGATCGACCCTGATTGGGAAAAGAAGGATGAAAAGATCTCGCGATGGCAAAGTCTCACTTTTGGACAGCTGGACGGCCGGCCGTTGAGGTTCCGCTCTAATTTTCGACCTGCAGCTCGATATTTGTACTTTCATTACTGCATTCAGATACTACGGATGTGTTGGCAGCACAGCAGCCAAGGAAGGTCAAGCCAGGCGGCTGCGCTTCTACAGCTGGAGAAAGGGAATCCTTTTTGGGGAACTGTGGGAAGATATCTTCCACGCAACATGCTTTTGGCGCTCGTCGAGGAGATGGGTCACGAGTATACATTTGTGCTAGACGGGGCTGCGGCCAGTCGGCCCGCCGACGACAAACTCCTCCTCGGACTTGCTTCAAGGCACGTCAAGGAACGGCCGTCTATCTTGACACCTGGAGTTTATGATCCTGCTGATTCGGAAGAAGAATTTTCTTGGCTTGAAGAGGATAGTGAAGATGAGTAGGGGTTTCTTTGCAAGAGCTGGAGGAATCTATATTATTATCATGAACAGCAGCATTTAGGCTGCATGAACAGAATTGCTACAGATGAGGAATGAGCACTACGAGATGATTTTTATTCGAGATTTGGTGCAAGGGGCTCGTTGCAATATGTCGTTACAAGTCGTACTAGCTTACTATCTTGCTGGTGTTTCCTCAATCCCCCGTACTCACGAAATCCCCAAACTTGGAGTCTATCTAACTTCTATATTATATACGCCTTACTCGACGTTATGTCTCATTTTCACTTGGATTTAACGATCAAGCGGCATTCTATAAGGAGCCGAGGGAACTTGGACCGAACTTTGCTTCTCGCCCTCTAATCCCTCCCCAGGCTCCCTAATGCCACCGACATGTTCAATCCCAGCACTCTCACCAGAATCCTGCCCCTCAAACTCACCCTCAATCTCCATACCCATCCCCTCCTTCCACATATTCACCAAACTCGTAGCGCCCATGCGCCGATTCTCCTCTTGGATATTGAACTTGACTCCAGCACCAATAGGATACTTTTTGCTCGAGAGTGTATCAGCCAGTTCTTTGAGCGGGATACCGGTCTCTTCACTGATCAGATCTTCGTAGATAGGGTTGTTTTTGAAGAGGTTGTAGGTGGAGTAGAAGGGGCTGCGTTTGAGGGCGGAGGCGTGGTTGTGGCGCGAGTGTTGGATTTCGAAGGTCAGTGAGCGCGGATAATTTGACGGTTGGTTGGTAGATGTGGAGGGAGTATGGATTGAAGTGTGAGGTTTAGAGATCGAGCTGAGAGGGGATGTCGGTAAGGGAATGGTTATAGGCGATGCTGCTATCGCGCGTTCTGCTGCGTCGGCTGTCTCGAAGATGGCGACGATGGGGCGGTTCGGGTTTGGTGAGGTGTTTGTTGTGTCGTACTTATGACTTGTTAGACCAGCGCTGGTCCAAATACGAATTCGGAGACACCATACCTTGAGGTTGCGGTATGTTGTAACTTCTCCAAATTTCTGGAGCGCGGCCAGTATCAGCTTGCTTTCGGATAGGTTCTTTGGCATAGGAAATCCGGTTATATGAACCTGCCCGGTGAGGCGCGCTAGACTAGGGGACACCATTGTGAGAATTGTGTTGCTGGGAAGTTGGAAGCTGATGGAGACGTCGGAGAAAATTGGCGGATCGTCGAGATCGGCACGTCTTGGCGGAACTAGCTACCCATGTTCTACTCCGTAGCACAACAACTTTTGATATTACTACTCTGGCTAATATGGTAGATCTTATTGAAAATTTATTGAAATTGATATGTACTGATTTAAAGTTCCCAAGGCATAAAATCGTCATACTATCACGTAGTCTCCGGACACGGCGGACACGGGATTTCTCAGGGTTTTCAGTCTAGACACGCTTAGAAAATGGGGATTCCGAGGCCGTACTAAAGAAAAAAAAACTGTAAGTATCAATAGTCGACCCTCCGCAGAAACCGAACTTACAGCAACAGGGTCGTTGAAACGAAGACCCTTGTCCAGAGCACTGATAGCCTCGAGCTCACTGGCCTCAAGGTCGAAATCAGTGACAGTCAAGTTCTGCGCAAGACGGGTAGGGTCATTGCTCTTAGGAATAACAGCAATGTTGCGCTGAGTAGACCAGCGCAGCAGGATCTGAGCAGGAGTACGGCCGTGCTTTTCAGCAATGGCGGTGATCGTAGCATGCTCGAAGAGCAAGGGAGTATCCTTAGCGTGCTTAAGGTCAAGCTCAATGAAACTCAGGGGACCAAAAGAAGAGTAAGCAGTAACAGCGATACCCTCCTTCTGGGCGTAGTCAACAAGACGGGTCTGGGTGAGGTAGGGGTGGTGCTCGATCTGGAGGGTGGCGGGCCGGATACGGGCGTAGCGGAGCAGATCCATCAGCAGCTGGGCACTGAAGTTGCTGACACCAATGCTGCGAGCCAGCTTCTTATCAACAAGGGTTTCCATTGCGCCCCAGGTCTCGTGGATGGGTGCGTTGGCGAATTCGATCTTGCCCTCGGCGGTGGTCCAGCTGGGAGGGTAGCGCACGGAGGGGTCAAGGTACTTCAGGGCAATGGGGAAGTGCACGATGTATAGATCAAAGTAGTCAACGCCCCAGTCGGCGAGCTGCTTGCGGGCGATGGGCTCGACCTTGTCAGCCTCGTGGAAGCTGTTCCAGAGCTTGGACACGATGAAAAGCTCCTCACGCTTGACGAGACCGTCCTTAATGGCACGAGCTACACCCTGGCCGGCTTCGACTTCATTGCCATAGTCTGGGATTTGCGGTGTTAGTTTCAGACAGGGCTTGATTTGGGGGAGGGTGAATGTACCGCAGGCACCATCGAAGAGACGATAGCCAGCCTTAATGGCATTGTAGATCTGGTCGGCACAAGTGTCGTTGTTGACCTTCCAGAGGCCGAAACCCACAATGGGCATCTCATAGCCATTGCTAAGCTTGATAGTAGGGGCAACCATTGTGAATGTTAGAGAATTCTAAAGAGGAATGAGACAAGACATTGGGGCACGGAGGGGTACATAAATGACCCCGCCTATCATTTAAAATATCCCCAGGGACACAAATTGCAAAGGTCCAGGCCATATTAACCGAATTTACCTCAATTGGTCTCTCTTTGGCCTCCTTCGTTAATGAATCCCCAGAATTGCCCCACTGTTTTGCGGCTAAAATGGCTGATTGGGACAGTTTAGCCGACAGAGGGGAATATCGTTTACATTCGAAGATTATAATAGCCAAGTAAAAAAATTGATTAGTGATACCTTTTCCCCAATGTTCGAGATTGAAGTGTGTTCAAAGATTATTTTAAAGACATCTAGAGCATTTAAGATGATTCCAAGTTTTCTTCTCCAAACCGCCAAGACATTCCCCGACATCCCAATTGTATCCCCAAAAAGAACGGACATGGAATGGATATAAAATAAGGTAAACGAGAAAATCACAGAAAAATTACAAAAGACCGCTCCCAGAATGATTATAATTACTTTAGTTTGTGTAAAATATGTCGTTAAACCGAATCCACCGTGGAATTATCGTAGCCCGCCGCATCGGGGCCCGCCCCATGCATGCTAGCACCATTGGACATGCGCCCAACGATCTTGTCCATAAGGTCCTCAGACGGCAAGAGGCTGTCGAAATGGTGCGGTTGCTGCGACTCGCGCGATACAGGTCCGTGTCCATGGTGCTCCGGATGGTAAGAGAGGTGGTAGCTACCCGCGCCGACGTCTCCTGGAATGGATGTGGAATGCGCACCCCATGAAGCATGGCTGTGGCTGAGATCATCGAGCGGCTGCATGTTAGAACCAAAGAAGCTATGTAGCACACCGTTGCTATCGTGCATGTTCACGCTGTGCTGGTGAGATGGCACGTAATGGGATGCTTCGTGGCCCATTGCGTAGCCAATCCCTGGATGGGAGAGCGGTAGGTCGTGCACGTTGAGCATAACTGGTGCACCGCTGGGGCCGTGCAGGCTCGTGGATGGAATGCTCTCGGGTGCGAGGCTGGTAGAGAAGGAGTCCAGCACTGAGGTAACGGCGATTTTGTCATTGATGGTGTCTTCAGCTTTGCTGATGGACGCCAAGAAATCGAGGTGGCCGGAGGGATTGAATAGATTAGCCACATTATCGTGGGGCGGGTGGTATAGGGACCATTGTGAGTGTGATTGGCTTGGGTGGGGGATTAAGTCATGGGGCTGAGGGGTCTGGTACATGCCCTGGTGGGAAGCTTTGTTGAGAAGGATAGAATCCAGGGAAAGGGGAGGAAGATCAATCCCGGAGACTGCAAGCGGGCTATTGTTTGAAGTCCGGTCCGGTGCCGGAATTAATCGTCTCCAGGTAGTGGTGCCAACTTGGCCGGGCCGGGTTTGTCGGAACTTCCAGACCAGAACGGCCATACGCTTGCTCTCATCACCATGGTGGCCTTGGTATTGGTTTGACAGTCGGTGAGAGCTAGGTGAGGTGGCACGGAGCTCTTGTACTGCAGACAAGGAGCGGAAGAAGTTACGGGTGTTGTCATCAGCCTCGCGAGCAACTTGGGGGTTTCCCGAGTCCTCAGCCATGCGCTTGTCTTGAGTCACCTTGGTGAACATCTTGGCCCACCAAGATGATTCGAACAGAGGCTTGACCTTGGTCGACTGGGTTTTAGGTAGGTCGTCGTGACTCTCTATGAGTTTCTGGCCATCTTCATAGATGTGGGTGCTGCAAGTCCAGTTGTCCATCTGACTGACTCCGAACACATCGCCAGCACTAGGGTGACCGAAATCAAGGTCGAGCTGAATCCCCAGCTGTGATCTAGCAGGAGGGAAGTCGGTCATTAACTCAAGGTTCACTTCTAACAAGATTATATCGCAGTCCATGGGATTGTTGATGTCATCCACCATGGAGGCGAGTTGAGGAAAAGAAGACCGCCACCCATTCACATGCTCAAGGGGCATGGAGGATGCAGCGGAGTGGTGCAGGTCACCCTGTAGACGAGTGTATGTATGCAATGCTTTGCCGATACGATTGGCCTGTTGAGGAGCGGTGACCCACATGTCGAAGTTGAAGCCATGAATGGTGCTAGCAGCAGCCTCCTGCATGTTAGAGCCAAGGGTATAGTGCGGTGGCGGGAGATCTCCAGCGTACGGTTGCATGGATCTCATGTGGTCATGGTAGGAGCCATGTGTGTGGCTACCGTAGTGACTGGACGCCGAAGTGTGCTCTACTGCCGTTCTCCATTTAGGAGCCGGTGCTGAGCCATGAACACTAGATGATCGTTCTGGTGATGCCTCACGAACAAGTCGCTCCCCTGGCAGGCTGTATCAGTAAATAGACAATGTGAAGAACCTTTGACATTTGGCAACTCACAATCGGGATCACCCTTCAGGAAAGAGTCCAGGACCTGCAGATGGCTCGAGACCTGCTTGCGAGTCCTCCGCTTGCCCGTCAATTTGAAGATGTACTCAGCAATCAACTCGTTGCGGCCATACGACTTGCCCCGTTCGGACCACTTTCTCCGACCCATAGGAGGGTTTGCTTCGAGGGCTGGAGTCGGTTGTTAGCCTATTTTCAATGGATCATTACGTTAATATAAACCCACCTTGCTGGAAAGCGTCCTCCAACTCATCAGACCACACAGGCTCTCCATCCTTGCCAGTATCACGGCGAGGACGACGTCGGTACTCCAAGTACTTCTGGGACTTGAGGTAGCTGCTTCGCGCCCGGCGAGATTGAGAGTTGGGCCCAACGGAGTGAAGCCTGCGAAGCTTCCGTTGGTGGAGCCGAGCCGCTACATGCTGTTGATCCAAGCCGGACGCCGACAATGGTTGAGGATGATGAGGGGCATGAGGATACTTGAAGCCAAGTTGATGGAGCTGGTCCTCACGAGCAGCGATATCAGCATGAGTCAAATGATCTGAATATGACTGGACATTTCCAGTAGTATTCTGCAAAGCTCGATCAGAATGAGCTTCGACAGGACCCAGTGATGACTGGTTCTGAGTGACAAGGCACTCGGGTTGCCAGCCAGTAGCCATGGGGAGGGAACCAAGGACGGGCTTCTCGAAAAGAATGACAGATTCCGATAAGGAGGGGGACTGAGAGGCACCGTCAAATGCTTACTGCCTGGCAAAGAACGCAGCTCAGTCACAAACTACGACCCAAAGAACGCAAGATGTCAAGAGAATGTAAGAACCTGGGAAAGAGAATGTGAGAGCGAGCAAGATGGAGTTTATAGGGAACCATAACTCCCCTTTGGAGAGGGGTCCTGTAGCCCCAGTAGCAACATTGTTCCGCCAGGTCTGCTTTGCCTGACCTACGTCCCTCGAACGCCTTGTCCATACTCCTGGGCAGGTCCCGTTCCTGGCCTGCGCACATCTAGGCTGTGTGGGGAGCAGAGCACCAAAGGACGGCGGTAAGCCGACCTTGCCGCAGCAAATCAGGAGTCAAGACAGGGCTCGATATGAAGGAAGTTGTCCAAGAAGCAAGGGATGCTCAGCAGCACGAACCAGTGGTGAGTGGGTCGGAGATTTTGTATCGTACGAATTGACCTTCAAAATCTATCAATCAGACCAGCAACAACAAAAACCCACAATAACCAGTGGCAATCATGGCGTCGTAGGAATGTTGGTGGTCCAACGGCATCGAGTTCTCGCACAGGACGTGGAATGCTCAACCACCAACAGACACCGCCGGAATGCAGGCTGGGCTGATCTTTGTTGATGATAGTCCTGCGTACCATCAAAAGACCCAGCTACATTAGATAAAATGACCCTGCAATCTAAGGCAGTTGAATTGAAGTTGTGGGGAAGGAAAAAGAGTGTAGCATGCACTGCAAGGTAAAGTAGGGTTACAGTTGCGCCTGGATCAAGAGGGCACGAGACGCACGAGGGACGGAGCTACTGCAGGGTAATTGACAGCTGCGAAGAACGTGTTCAAGTGTATTCGGGGTATCTTTTGATTGCCATGTTGTATCTATGGTAGTATGCAAGTAATCGTACATGGTACATTATTCCAACTTTTCCCTGCAAGGGGTGTCAACAAACCAATCCATGGCCGTGTCCTTGTCACAGGGAGAAGGGACGAGGGCTTCACTCTTCCTCCTGCCCTCCTACAGTGAATTTCTTGCGCCCGGCGCCAGAAGTGAGCTGTTGAAGTTTGACCCTGTCCATCTGCTCTCCTACCTTCTTCTCTAGGCGCGCGAGTTCCTCCTCAGGATCGACGGCCTCCTCGTTCACGAACTCCAAAACCAATCGTCTCCCCAGGAGATGCGTGTTTTTCAACGCGTCCATGGCATTTTCCGCTTCGCGAGCGCTTACAAAGTCTGCAAAACCGAAGCCACGAGCAGTGTGATCGAACTTCTGAGGAACACGCACAGACCGAAGTTGTCCGTAAGCCCCAAATAGAGATCTGATGTCCTTCTTGGTGGCCTGGAACGGCAAGTTCTTAATAATAATTTTGGTTCTGCGTGCCGCAACCTTCTTCGCAGTATCTTCACGTCTCCGCTCCTCGGCGGCGTCCTTGCCTTTATGGGATGCGCGGATGAGAAGTTCGTGCTGATCCAACTTATAGCCGTTCATAGCAGAAAGAGCAGCCTGGGCTTGAGCCTTGGTTTTGAAATCTGCAAAGGCGAATCCCATGCTGAGGGTCTGCCCTGGTCGCTTGGGATCGGGTTTGGTCTTGATGCGACCGGTAATAAAGCCATCTAGAGATCGGAAGACTTCCAAGAACTTCTCGTTGGTAGTTGAGAAGTTGAGATTTTTCACGAAGAGTGTAGTTGTCGCTACACTGTCATCAGGCTCATCTGCGGCAAATGTGTCTGCAGTCGAGAATCCTTGATCCTTGCCCCTAGTCTCTGGAGCAAGTGCTCGTGGGACTGCAGATCCATCAAACAGATTCTTCGGCGCCTTCTCCAGGAACAAGATGGAATCACCCATCTTGCGGTACGCCAAGCCCTTGAAAGCCTTTTGGGCCTCGTCAGGTTGCGCAAACTCCACGATAGCAATGGTGCCACTTGGTGGCATCAGGAGGCGGATGATCTTGCCATACGGGTCGAACAGACCCCTGAGCTCCGCCGATGTGACACCGTATGAGAAGTTCTTGACCAATATAGCCGTATTCCCACGTTCTCGCTCCTTGAAAGCATCAATATTTACCCCATTTGAGGCAAAGTAAGCTTTCGTCTCTTGAATCACGTGCGTTTCAGCATGTGCTTGCTTGACAGCGGCATCAGAAGAGGTAGGATCAAGTAATTCAGATTTGGAGACTCCAAGCCTTCCAGCCACTGATGACATCACAGCATCGGCCTGTGTGAACATTAGTTTGAACGTTTTGACTCTTAATGAAAAAGTTGAAAACTCACGTTCATGTACAGGGAGTTCCAGCTGAATGAGGACCCAGAGGCATTTTGTTTCCGCTTGATCTCTCTTTGCTTTTTGAGAGGAAGCTTTGACAGTTCGTACTCGTCAATCTTGTATGTCTTCTTCGCAGAAGCAGGCAAGATGTGGAGTAGACGACCTTGGAAATGCTTTCCATCAAGATTCCGGTAAGCATCGATGGCTGCATCAGCAAGGGAGTATTGCACATAAGCAAAGCCTTTGCTTGTTGTGGAGCGGGTGTCAAAAGCGATATGAATCTATATCCAATTAGCACTCTAGCCATTGAGTGTGATGTTAAAATGTGCAAAATTGGGTTGAGTTGGCTCTTTCAGATCGTCAAGAAGCATCTACTAAAATCTCTTGTCCTGGTAACATCATTTGCAATTTGCATCGGATGTCCCTATCGGGAAAGTCATCATACGAGCACTTGTGGCAAGCAGGCTGAAAGCCAGCTAGCCGCGGGTGGGAAAAGGCGGGGGCAATGTTGAAAAAGCAAAATAAAAAAAAACTAACCTCTTCAATATTTCCGAACCGTTCGAAAATTGGTTGGAGATCTGATTCTGTTGTGTCGTATGCAAGATTTCTTAGGAACAAACGGGCAGAGTTCCGAATAAGATCGACATTCGGATCTTCCGGCATTGCCTCGGTAACGCTGTCAACGTCAGTCGTGTTGGGCACAATTTTGTCAATGGCCGCAGTGCGCGATTCCTCGTCGCGCTGCGGCGACTCAGCGCGAGACGAGACAGGTGGTGAGGCAGTTTTGGTCGGCAAAGTAGTCGATGCGGCGGCTTTGTGTTGATCAAACTCATCTTGCTCTTCCTCGTCGAGAAGGCCCAACAGACGACTCGTCTTTGACCGTAGCCAATCTGCATCGGAAACCCGCGCAGTCTCTTCAACTTCACGCTCCGCGGAGTTATCATGTTCAGGTGCTTCCAGAGCTTCCTCTCCCTCATGCTTGTCAATGACCATAGGCTCAGGCTGCTCGGTGTCTACAACCGAGAGTGGCTTTTCTGTCTTCGCCTTTTTCCAATGTGAAGGCAACTCCTGTATTTCTTCTTTCTGCGCGGTTGGGTTAATGACAGGAACAGTGTCCACAGACGGCTTGATCATTTCATCATCATTGGCCCATGTCCGAGTTTTTGATGACGCTCCCATTAAGGAAAGGTACTCTTGTAGCTTAGGGTCCTCTGATTTGTTCTCGCCGTCCCTCTTGCGCTTGAGGTTGTTATCCAATGATGCATCATTATCATTCGTGGTATCACATCTTCTTGTGGGGTGAGCATCCTTAGCGTCATTTGAATCAACCTGTAATAATAAGGGTCAGTCTCAAGACCACCTTAATTGGTCAGCGTGCACAGGCGAAAGGAGAGTGGCTGAAGCAGAAGAGCTGAGAATTCACATACCGGACGAGCGATGTCTACAGCGATCTTCGACATCTTCATGTACGTCTTGTTGAAGTGCTTCACAGCTTGCTGAGCTGCGTCATGGCTCTTGAAGCCGACGAACCCCATCCTACGTTTAGGTAGAACATGAGCATCGGTGACTTGGAAGCGAGTTTCGAAATGTTTCTTAAGCTGATCATTGGAGCATGTTGGTGGGAGACCACCCACGAACACTCTTGTGCTCTCCATTTTGGAATTTTGTGATGAGTGTAAAGACTCGAAGTTTCCACCAGAAAAACTTTTTTTTCTTCTTTCATAGTGCCGCAGGCGGTCTGGCGGGCGGGCGGTGTAGCTTGTCCACCGGCAATAAAGTTACTCCAACTACTCCACGTTATCGCAAGTGGCACAACCAAGTCTCTTTTCTATCGCATCACCGAAACCCCCCTTCGAAGTTTTCTTGATACAGCAATTACTAACAATGGCACTTCCCCCAACCGAGAAGAAGGAGCCTATGGAGGGTAAGTTTGTCCTTCCTGAGTCCAGTGACCAAGTGCTAAATGCTCCGTGCAGCGCAGATCAAGTCTGTAGACATGGTAAGGACCCCTATGAGAAAAGCAATTGTCAATTGATTCTGATGTGCTTTTTAGACGGAGGATATGCAGCAGGAGGCGATTGCCCTTGGTATGAAATATCGAGAGCGCCCTGGATAAACAAGGCTAACCTACCCCTCAGCCATTGAGGCCACCGAGAAGTTCAGAGTTGAAAAGGTATGCGTATTCTTCAACTAATACACAAGGATGTTATAATGACAAATTATAGGATATTGCGCAGTACATCAAGAAAGAAGTTCGCTAATTCTACCCCGCCCCCGAAGCCATCTCTAACCCCATACATCAGTTTGATTCCCGCAAGGGCGCTACCTGGCACTGCGTAGTTGGTCGTAACTTTGGAAGCTTTGTTACCCATGGTATGTGGATATTGGAACCCTCACGTCAATAGCCAAATACTAATCTCGTGTTCAACAGAGACCAAGCACTTTATCTACTTCTACCTCGGACACTGCGCAATTCTGCTATTCAAGACCCAGTAAATGCGATTGATATTTTGAGGCTCGATGTGCTACACTGACGGGGAGGTTATATCCGGAAAAATGCGTTTTTCAAGCGACTCTTTTGTCTTCTAATATTTGATCTATGGGGCTGTCATCTTATGGTGAGCAGCCATTAGTGAATTAAGCCTATCTGCCCAATAGACGTAGAACAACCATAAAAATGCTATGCTGAGTTTAGACCCTCGGTTAGATATTCATACACTACAGCAAAGGTACATACATGCTTATTCGCCGATAATGTACGGGCCCCTGCTGGAATCGATCATCACATGTGCTTTTTATACAGGGGGCGCTTGGCCAATCAGGCGCCACTTTGTCCAGCATCACGTGTTTCTTGCCAAGACCAGCCAAGCCACAGCGCCACACTCCAATTCCGCTGCCTTTCGTCTTAAATCGACCTTCAATTCCTCAAATAGCTTTCAGTTCTCTGTTGATTCTCTTTGGTAGTTCTCTCTGACCTTTTTCAAATCTCGCAATCATCATGGCCTTCTGTATCACGTTCGGAATGCATGGTAAGTCTTGTTTCGACCCACGATCCAGAAACCAGTGTGGACCCTGTTCCTGGAGTTGTATTAAGTGACGGGTATCGTGCTATCAACGCTGCGAATTTACCCAGTCGTACACCTCGAACAAGATACTGACCATAAATACAGAGTTCTCCTCTCAACTCGAGGGTTATGAGAATGTTCGCGCATACTGCTACAACTGTAAGTTCTGACGTCAGTGGTCTGTTGACGGGTGGTTTATTGATTCTCCGCTTTCAGGCCAACATTGGAATGGTCACTGCATCACCCGATGGTGAGTTTCTATCTTGGAATCCCCGACCAGAGCAATTTGACTGATTTTCCTCCTAGGCCGTTTTTCACTGTCTGCTTCATTGTAAGATGATGCCCACTTGAACCTCATTTGAGAAACGACTCAAGATATCTAACTTTTTACCTCACCTCAGCCATTGATTCCCCTTGCTGTGCACAAATACAAGGTACATTCGCGTCTATCGATCATGTCTTGACTCTATTGTTAACGTACTTTGTAGGAGGTCCAATGCTACACATGCCGTTACACTCAAGACCTACGGTATGCTCTACCCCGGAAATCATCAAATCTTATTGGGTTGCTAGGGCATACTAACAATGGCTACATCAGTGACCGGCCTGACATCACGCCTGACACAAGGCCTCCGGCGGGTATGCAATATGGCATCCAGCCGCCCCCCCAGGCCCAAGGAGGATGGCAGCAACAGCCTCCTCTGCAACCCCCCCCTCAAGCACAGGGCGGGCTTGCATACAAATGAGTTTCCAAAGACGTTCGAATTCCACTAGCATGAAGACGGAGCAGTTGTTACGGGGATGTGAGGCAGAAAGAGGGTTTAGCAGGAGACGTGTATTCCAGCTTAGTATCGCGGACTTGCCCTCTGGCGTTGGGCAATTTTTGGGGGTTTCTTTTGGTTTTAATCTGTCAAGTTTAGCACATTTTTTGAATTTTCGTTTTTGATCCTCGCAATGAATTAACATGGTTCTTGTAGAATATCGGCTTGCTATGATCGGAAAACATAATTCGGAACACATAATAATGAAGAGAGTGAATTTCAAATTCAGATAAAGTAGCAGTAGGGGTATAAATAGCCGTAAACAAGATATGAAACCAACACCAAGGCTCAACGATAAGCACCAACAAGAACCTCAAACCTCCCTCTCCGAGCCCTTCTTATCCTTTTCCCCAAGCACATCCGTTGGTGTCGCAACCCCAGCAGGCGTAGCCACGTCATCAGCCCCAGCCTTCGTGCCCCGATAAACCTTGGGCTTCTTCCCCACAAGATCAAGCGACATCATCCGCACAACACGGACAATACTTGCCCGTCCCTCATACAATGGGAACACCACCACACCAAACAGGGTGACGAACAACCATATAATTCCAACAACCACCCACCCAGTGAAGAATTTCTTACTAAACACATACGATGATACGTACATAGGTATCGGCCAGAGGATCAGGAAGGCAAATGCCATGAAGACTGTCAGGGTGCGCGCATAGAGGGCCGAGCGGTTTAGCAGGCGTTCTTCTTCTTCGCTCTCATCCTGCGTGGGACCCGTCTCGCCGGGAACTAATTCGAGATCAACGTGGGCGGCTGCGACAACTTCCGTGTCGTCGACTTTGCGGATTACCCGCATGGATTCGTAGTCATAGTTTTGTGGGCCGAAGATGTAGGTAAAGAGTGGGACAAACACCACCGGGCTGAGAAGGGCGGCGACGTTGCCAGCTAGCATGGGGTAACTGGAGAGGTTTGTCAGGATGTGTGTGTTTGCAGCATGGATGTGGGGTGGGGGAAGTGCTTACTTGGAACCGGTAGTGTCGACAGTTAGGGTTCCGTATTGCTTCTTTGCGGTCACTAGCCAGGCAATGAGGGAGACTGCCAGACCAAGGGGTGGTGACAAAGCTGCTGCGATGCGGTTCTGGCCCTTCCAGAGGAGGGTCATGGCACCAGGGAAGACGGCAGAAGAGATGATCACGCCCATCAGCAAGTAAAGGTACCCCATGCCGATGCCGGCATAGTGGAGACCGGTCGCAAAGCCCGCCATGATGATCGAGTAGACGATGCAGGACATGTGCGAAATCCAGACAAGTCTCTTGCCCTTGGCGCTTGGGTTGATATAAGCCGCGTAGATGTCGTAAGTAAAGATAGAAGAGACGGCGATCAGCTGGGCCGAGAATGCTGACGTCACCGCCATGAAGATCATGAGGGTTGTCGCGACGGCACCACTATAGCCGAGTAGCTTGACAGCTGCGAAGGGGAGCACTAGTCCGGCGGTGACGTCGTCGGAGTTCATGCGATTTGTGCCCTCTAGCGCCAGCGCGGAAAGGCCCATTGTGCTTGCGCATAGCCAGGGGATTGCGAACCAGCAGATGCCGCCAATCACGTATCCTGGGAATGCATGGACGGGGCTAGCAGCGATGGCCTTGTTGTAATAGCCGTTGTCCAAGAAGACTGTGCCGAAGTTTCCAACTAGGTTGATGACCCAGAAGATGCCACCCTCCTTCGAGCGCATAGTTAGATAGCTGCCTTCTGCGTTGCCCTCAATAGGGTGACGCTGGGAGGCTGCAACCAGCGCGTCATACACCTTTGATGGAGATCCTAGCTCGGCGTTTGTAGCATACGCGGAGAAGGCGAAGAGGAAGATGACGACCAGAATTACCACGGTGTGTAGGTAATCTGTGATAAAAGTAGCCTTAATACCACCGAAGAGAGTGTATAGTACTACACCAATCGGGAGCAGGAAGCAGGCTGCCGCAGTGGGCACTCCAGTCAAGGAGGTCATCACGGCCGATCCACCTGTGAGCAGCATCGCAGTAACCAGGATGTTGGTCATCAAGCAGAATACTATGAACACAATGTGCACAATGGTTCCATAGCGAGCGCGGATGACTTCCAAGAAAGTGTGAGCGTTTGGCGCACGGCGTTTCAGCTCGATGGCCAGAGTTGCGAACAGGAGAATCTGGACAGTGGCGCCTATTGATTCACAACACGTCAGACGTTATAGCATTTCAGGTCATAGTCATCCAGTGGGAGCTAACCTGATGCATAAAAAAATGGACCAGAGACACCGTATTTATATGCGACTGCAGATGACTGGAGAAGAGTTGCAGCCCATGTCCAACTACTAACAACGGCGGCGGCAACCAGTCCTGATTTGACGGACCGCCCTGCAGTTGAGAACATCTCGGACGTCTGGACTTCATTCTGATAGCTGTAAGGGTATGTGTTGTCAGCCTGTGCAACTGTGTTGAGTGAAGCATAGAGACACACCGTTTCAAAGCCCAAGTAATAAAGATCATGAGCAGAGCAAAGGCAAAGCCAAGTCCCAGGATAATCCCATATCCAAAGCTCTGGGACAAAGGTGCCGTGAAAATAACCCCGTCGGACGACATACCGTGGACGTGGATAACTAGGGACTCGCAAGGGCTTGTGTCCAGCAACAGAGGGATAGATGGGAAAGAATGTTGGCAATGTGCCACAGATTTGGAACCGGCGATCAATGCTCCAATTGATATGAAAATAACGCCTTATTCAGCTTTCCAATATTGACTTGACATGTGGAGATATCAAACTCCCCAGACGTGGAAGATGGTACCCTCATATAGGGCTCGGACGCACAGCATCAGACACATAGTACGGACCCCAGCTCCGAATTCGCACCAACTAGGTAGGGAGCAGCATGACGATCTCTGATTTGAGCTTAGATAGGGATGCTGGATTTTGATTGCAAGATAAGAGCAGCATGCTCTCGTAATGCCATGGCGCACATGGCAGGGATGTAAACCGCCTAGGTACGCCACTAAAACTAGAGAACCAACATCCCAATGGAGAACTGTGCGGAGATTTCGAGACTGATATCCACGGGGAGAGTAAGACGAAAGGTTTCCACCGAAGGGATACGCGTTGTCGGTCATTGGTTAGTGCTGGCTGTTATCAGTGACCTTTTCGGGTAATGGGGCTGTGATTGGCCAGAACAGATGCGAGATAAGATACTACCAGGCTAACTACGGAGTACTCCATGAACATTTGGATTTCACTTGAGACGGCCGATGTAGGTGGGAACATCGGAGGGTCCCGGCTGTCACGAAGCTCTGGGGGCATCAAGATATCCTTGGCACAGAAGGTTACTCATTCTTGTTATAAGGCTTTGAGATCCACTATCTCCCCACCTTTAAATTCAGTTAAGCATAAGATAGCCTAGGTTAATTAAACAGTCTCAATAAAGCATCGGCTTGACCAAAGGGCGATTAATATTTGTTCTCGTAATCCTCCCAATCCCAGGAGATCTTCAAGGTATCTACTCTCACCCTATGTCACCAATATTGAAGCCTTAAACTTGTGAATTGCATCCTTGATAGAGTTGTTGAACTTTGATAACTGAGAAACAGACACATGTCATCTCCTTTGGTGCATTTGATTTTTGTTCCACACTCCCTTGGACGCCAGCTAGTCACATACACAGGTAGTGTGTGAAGCTATCTGTGGGAAATCCAATGTACAATCGATGGATTGAAGGTGAGAGACAAAACCTAGTACAAAGCTATACTGACATATCTATTCAATTGTTCAAAGTGTAAGCCATGTCGATCGAAAGAACAACCACTTTGCATGAAGAAAATGATGGACATGTTTCATCTACAGGTTGTAGCTTAATTCGAGATCTAAAGCACGTCAGACATAAGGGTATCAAAACATAGTTAAATAGTCTGTGAAGCAGGTACTAGGGTCTGGCTTTGGTGCATGAGCTGTGTCGTAGTCCAGAGCTCCTGGATTCTTTGTCCATCGACTCCTATGGTCAATTTGCAACTAGACGTCTCCCCCAACAGGCCTTCCTCTCAATAGCTACTTTTGCAGCCTATTACTACTAGCGTCTACAAGTGGCTACTGTATCCCCGAGAAATGAGAGAAGCGGGTATGACATCTCAGAGGTGGGCAATGTAGATGATAGTTGTACAGTGACCAGAGTTTCCCGGGTCGTTAGACTCTATAGAAAGCGCTGAGGTTGTCTGGTCTTTCCGACCTATGTTTGAATTCCTCTGTTAGCTCTTCCTACAAAGCACCAACCTTTCTGAGAGTGAAAGTTCATCCCTGTCTTCTCCCTCGACCTTATGGATACTTGAGGGGGATACAGGGCCGTATCTCCATCCACCAGCTTTTTGAATCATGACTTTCTCACCTCGATCTACATCACTACCCTTTCATGATCATCCGGTTATTCTAGGAGATTTATTTCTGGGACGCCCCACTATGTTACGCACAAAAATACCCATCCGAATGGCCAACGAGCGGAATGGTCATACTAGCAGACATTTAACGGAGATGGAACGAATCACTTTCACCTTGTGGAAATCAATTCCGTTTTACGAAGTTGCCCCTCTGTAAATGAATCGGATTGGGGCGAGGAAATTTCCTTTGATGCAGGTGAGCTGCAACTCAGCACGTGTCGAATTTGGCTCCTCTCGCTTCAAGACCTTGGGGATTTTTAGCAGCTATACAACTTTGTACTTGATAAAGGGCCTATTTAAATCTGCATCTAACACGATTTACCGTGATGTTTTTCTTCTGCGAAACTATCTTTAGTCACTTCCCTTACAGGCACTCGGTTCAAGATATCTACCGCGGTTTAAACTACTTCGCTTTAGGTAAAGGAGGGGATATATTAATTGTTAATCTACGCTCTTACTATTTTTAAAACTACCCCCGTAGATCTCTCAGTAGATCTATCTAATTCCAGTAAGCCTAGTAGAGTATTTTTAATAGAATACCTTTCAGCTTTAATTAATTTGCTGAGCGAAGTGACGTAAAGAACACAGATCAGATCTGTGTCATTGTGTAACATAGTATTCCACAGATAGCTAGATAGCTCTCGTCCTTTTTCTCTCTCGCACGGTTTCTCCCCTGATCTCCACAATCCTGTTCGGCATTCCATGTATTCTAAAACACCGAAAGTTCAAGCGCCTAGAGTCGGCCAACCTGACCAGAACCTTGATAGTCTACAAAGTTACCAGAAGAGCAACTTCAACGCCAGAAACATGAAATCTTTATATTGTACAGACAAACGTCCGGATAGAACAGATATCACCATGTTCCAGTCCAAGCTATCACAGGCACAGCACATTCCAGCGCGTAACATCGCCAGGAAATGAGCCGGTAGACACAAAACAGACAGGCGAAGACGGATACACCAACAGGCTAGTTCTATCGAGAATGACCTATGCAGCAGATAGGTCGATGAGTAACTCTCTTTTGCAACGCAAATGAAAAACACCACACACATCAAAATGAAAACGGAAACGGAAACGGAAATGGAATCACGCCAGTTGTTTCAGAAGGGTTGATTTGGTTCCAGCAACGAGAAATGGCCCAAGGGTCACGGGGTATAGGAGTGGGTAAGTGGGACGGTGTGAGGAGAGGATGATTTGAAGTCGGGAGCACATGGTCAAAGCCCGGGAAAGACTGATCGTACTCAACAATCCAACGGGCTTTCAATAGCGCAATTAAGGCTGATAAAGCGCTTAAGCAGAGAACTTGCGGGTGATCTTGGCGATGACTAGAAAGAAAAAGACAGTTAGCAACCAATCCAATAATGAACTCATGACATCCATCTCGTCTTCAGTAAAGTGTCCTTACCGTGCAGACCAACAACCGAGAAAATGAATCCCAGACTCAGGACTAGGACAACCACGGGGTCAACACGCAGACCGGGGCTCTCGTCGGTGTACAGCTTGAGCATGGTGCCAGACGAGCCACCGGCGCCGGCAGAGCGGGTGGAGCTGGGGCGGGCATTGCGGAGGGTCTCCTTGTGGTCGGCAGTGGCACGGCGGCGCATAGCAGCACGAGGACCGCCGGGAGTCGACGGAGAAGAGGTTCGGCCGACGGAGTTGCCGGTGGCTGCGGCGGCACCGGACTTTGAGTCAGGGCCGGACTCGGCCCCTGAGGTGAGGGGAGATGCTGGGCGGGGGGAAGCCTAGTAGTGCATTGCGTCAGTTTCGGGATTAAGGGATTAAGGGATTGACGGATTGAGGGATTGGCTAGGTTGTTTGCAATGGGTTATTGCGTTGATGGTGGATGGGGGCAAGCTGGCTTGATCGTCGGATGGGTGATTGATCGGGCTTGGGTCTGGGGTTGATGGACTTACCATTGTGATTAATTTGGTGTGGAAGAGTGTAAAAGGAGAAGGAAAAAGTTATTTAAAGAAAGATGGAATTGCAGTTCAAGAAGAAATGAAAGGAGGTTTGCGGAGTTGAGGCCACGATCGCGGTTTCTTGGGTAATACCGTATTTGACCTGTCATCCCGGCAGCTGGTGGAGAATTGAGCGATAATTACCAGTATTTACAGTACACCTAGATCAACCAATCAGACTGACTCGGCGCACATTGCTGTAATGGCACAACTCATCTACAACATGCAAGACCTTCATTAGCGAGTGATTAACTGGCTTCAGTAGAAGTAAATGTCCGAATGCACGAAGATTACTGGTATGTAGACATGTCACTGAGTTTCAAAAACTCAATGTCCATTCCACCACTATTTAGAGTCCCTGTATAAGTGTGAGAAATCAATGATTAATTTTTAACAGCTACTAAAATTCCATCCACTTGTCTAGTCCCATGAATTAAAAAGAAAGACTAGCTCAAATTAATCGGAAAAAAAAAAGCATTGATGGCTGTCGTAAGACATGGAGAACACCTCCGGGAATCAAATCATCCAGATAACGCCGTCGGGGCGTTCGTGTAGGGGGGTATGGGGTATGGATATGAACATGCAAAGGAAGCCGAGGAAAGTAAAATCACAGGAAATTTTGACAGCTCGGAGCCATGAAGAATGGGAGAGGGTGGGCAGAGCAGATTCGACGGAGATGTGGTATCATACTGAGCCCGAAGCCCAGAAGCAAGAAAGCAAGATGCACAAAGAAATGGGGCTAAAAATCAAGGTGTCCACACAGACACGAAGTTCACAGATTAGAGAAAGACAGACGCTCCAAAATTCAACGCCCCGGAAAAAATAAACTTATAGAAACACTACCCTTTTCGTATCGGATGTTCAATCGATCATCATCCGTGACGGTATTTGGGTGAGGTTCGAAGACAGCTCGGTTAACTTTTCCGCTTCCTTGTTCTTCTTCTTGTTGATGTGGGGCTTCAAACCGCGGTTGAAGTTATGGACGCACATGAAGGCGTAAATGATAGTGACAATGATCAAGGTGATGGTGATGACCGCAAAGAAGGTCATTGATGGTCGCGCCGGTAGGTATTTGAAGTAGGTCAGAGGAGACCACATTCGGTACAGCTTGAAGAAGAAATATGCCATCGCGGCGAATAAGAGGAGCTGTCCAGGTCGTTAGAAGCCAAAACGACGTTGCCGGTGTTGGAGACTTACAATGATGATGACCATGCCCACCAGGGATTCTCGTCGCACAAACAAGGCGCCACAGACTAGAATGAGAATGGTCACGGGGATGGCAGCCACGGTAAGTGCAAATTCAACGTCCAAGGTGGCCGAGGAGACAAAGACGAGGAACTGGACAGTAAAGCCCAAGAAGAAAAAAAAATCAAATTTCAAGAGAGCGATGTAGATCTGGGATGCGAGCGGTTAGCCGTGTTGCTGATGGGGCGATCGAACGAAACACAAACCTGGTAGGTGAGGTAGCGACGCTTCATTTGCAGATCAGCACTAATGTGTTTGTAGATTGTCCATGCAAACTCGTCGTAGAGCTTATACGCGAGGAAAGTAATCAAAAATGTTCCCAATGCCACAATGCATGGGATGATGATCAAGAACGGCTCGGACTCATCCCAGACAATCGGACTGATCATGTCCATCAAGGACAAGGTGGAGACCGCCTCTCGAATTTGTTTCACTTGAACAGCGCCGTAAATCAGGAGGCCAACATTGCAGAGACACAGTCCGATCACCTGAATAGTATTCTTCATGCGCAGAGCATCATATACCAGCACCAGTTCGTAGAGGAAACCGAAGCCATAGAGGGCGAGGAACGTAGGGATAGTTTTCGACGCGGGACTGTTGTTTGGAACCTCTTGAATTTGAAAATTTGCGAAGATGTAACTAGAGAAACGGTGACGTTAACGTTGATCTCCAGTGTTCGCTGCGGCGGAGTTCCATACCTTTCCAGAGCGAGTGTTACGATGGTTTGGACGAGTGCGACGATCGCAAAGGACCACGTCCAAAGTGAATTTGGGAGATAGCACTTCCTGGCGTTATGGTTTGTAGGAGTGACGTTGGTGTATCCCTCTCTTGCGCGGAACCCTCCTTGACCTCTTCGAAAGGCGGGATCGAAAGATCCCCCCAAGAGAGAGGCGCGCGACCCGTGTGAAAGAATCTTGCCGATAGGCTCCGAAGTGGAGCTAAAGTCGGCAGAAATATGAGGGAAAGACACGGTGACGGTGCGACCACCTGACGGTGGCTTTCGCTTTATAGGACCGGTGGGAAACAGGCCGAGACGGGGGGGGGGAGGGCAGATCAAAACACCCGGAGGCTCGTGTGCTTCTGTGGCTTGGCAATTTAGTTGGCCCAAGTCGGATTCGTCAGGAGACGTGATTAGAAGCAGTCCTCAACAGGGGCATCCGACCGTCCAGTAGACTACTCGAACCTGTTGAGTCGAGTTCACAGATGATGATTTATCTTTCTGTTTGCAGGTAGTTTGTTCTTTTAGTTAATCCCGCGGTGTTCCGAATTGTCAGGCGGGGGAAAGGGGGGGGGGGGGGGAGATAGAGGGAAGGTGGTATAGCAGCGACCGTTCAGTCCTGTCTTGATGCAACCCTTGAAAAGAAAAAAGGGAGGGAATAAGGAACGAGCGACAAGAATAGTTGAAAAAGGAAAAATTAAAAAGACCGGAGGATTTGAGACGGGAGGGAAGGGGCACATCTGGGGTTCAACCAGAGTTGTCCACATACCATGGGGCGGGTCACACACATTGCGCAGTATGTAAGCTCCTACTGTGTACACCTGGTATGGAGTACATGCTCCGTACCAATATTGGAGATCCGAACTGGGAGCCCTGCTTACTACCAAGATTCTAGATGCCTTGTAGAGTCCCTGAAAAGTAGTTTCTCCGGTGACCTAGTCGAAGCCACACTATTTCTGCCATCGCCTGTTTCTCCTGATTCGAAGCCAGTGGAGTAGACCCATCAACATGCGACAGGTACTAAACTTAGTCGAGTCCAGGCTTCTTTTTTTTTAATTTATTTTTTGGGGGGTTCTCTTCGTTTAATTCTGGATGGTTTGGCATAGATTATCCTTGACTGGTTCGTCCTGATTGATGAAGAGAGAACCATGAGATTCTTGAACTGGTTCAACGCCTTACAAAGTAGACCGTCAATGCCTGGGCGTCGCCTAGGGTCTAGGTGAGCTTCCTTAATCGTGTCAGCACCCTGCCAGACCAAGTTGACTTATTACACTTGCCTGTTAATCAGTCCCAGCCTGAATCTGATCCCCAGGTAGTAACTTGGAGGTAAGGCTGTCCAACAGGCCGTGATACCATATGGGGAGCTGCAAAGCGATCTTACTAATGTGGCTGGAACAGAAGTGGCTGAGGCAGAGAACGGTTGAGCCATAGCCCCGTCCGACCGAGTCATTCTGAATTCAAGTGTGTCGACAGTGGTACCTCGGTACTGAAAGATAGTTACATCACCACTATTTGATCTGCATACGCGTAGCCCATCGAATTCCTACGAGATCCCCGAGCCACCACTCTCACTTCTGAGGTGCGCTAAAACCTGGTTCGCGCGGCTAATCAACGAGCCGCGCCCATGTGTAATATGCCTCGGAAGAAGTGACAAGATCCTCGCTAGCTGGATCAATGAAGGATTACATTTCGGAAACTAGCCACTATAGAAAAGCCAGCTCACGACGAGCTTACACACCCAAGCTTATCTCTTAGTCTTCGTGCGAAGCTATTATGGGAATGTAACGCGTTGTCGATTGATGTTATCATTATCTATGCAGCTTTAAATGTCAAATGCGAAAAAGTTCCAGACTTACTTTGTGACTTTGATCTGGGCTTCGGCTGCGGCCACAGACTTTGTGCCCGAGAGATTGTTTGGGGGTCCCTTGGCAAGCTGTGCAGTGGACACATCTTTGGATGAATTGAGATGGATTCTACGTTGAAAGTGACATCCGGGCCTCAGAAGTTTCCTTTTTGGTTGGAAGTCGCAAATCCGATCGCAAACCAACGTCAGTCTCCGCTGGTCGCCTTGATGATGATGATG